ACAGAACACTTTGGGGGGGGGTGGACGGGGGGTTAGTCAAACCATGCTTAAATAGAAATTAGGCCTCACTTTCTTGTACTGACCTGTCTATAGCAAGAATCAGAGCCTGGAATGGTATGTCTCTACTAGGAAGATTTTAATAGTACTAGCTGTTGTAATGATCTCCAAGAGCAGTGCATATATCTCCAACTATTTCAGACTGCATTTCACAGTCAGACCGATGTATTGGTTGGCTGATCAAAACGGCTCATATTAAGGTTCCACGAATTTTATCAGCATCGGCGGAACACCTTCTTATAAAGCACCAATAATGTCTCTTAAAAATTTATGATGCAGACAGGAGCCGTTTCACTGGAGAAAATGCTGAGATGCTATACTTCCTGCGTTGTAACTCACCACTCTTAGCCTGAGAGCATTAGCACCTTTGGCCAAAGAGTTGTTAGTGATCATCTGGGAATGGGAATAGATGTCTCACAAAAACTATATCACCCATTTTTTTTTTGAGTGTGTAAATGCAGTTCATTTGGTAGTAGAAGAGGCAGTTTACTTCAAATTTGCAGTTTTTGAGCAGCTCATGTTACAATAAACGATTCACTTTACTTAATTGTAAACGCAGGCACTTTTTGGAATATGTTTATGGGATGCCACACATGTACGCTGCACACGTTAGATGTTTAAGTACATGCCTCTTGCTGCTCCACCCTGCCAAAGAGCTCTAAGCAGCGTGAGCGCGCGTGATGGCCATGCTGCAGCGTGCATGCGCTGACGTGCTCAGCGAGAGCACTGCGCTGTTGAAATCCCCACAGGGCGACCGCTAAGGGCATGCCCGGGCACTCCCCTATGTTCTCGACAGGAAAAACAGCCGTCACGCTTCCCATGAGAAACAAGAAGGCAGGACGTGTACCTTAAATCAACACTACTACCCCTAATGAAATTGCACAGGAGTGAATCAGAGGCACCACTTGGCAGCCGATTACTTGGCTGGGGTTGCCAGACTGGAGGGGGGAGAAGTGTTTTTTTTTTTTTTTTTTTTAATGGGGAATGACCAGCATCATGGGGAACACAGGATCCGCAGCAGCATGACGGAAAACGCAGAGTCGGGACACTTACGTTGTCCTCCAGCTCAAGGTGGATCTTCTTTTGAACCTCGGAAACCTCCATGAGCACCACGCCTGATGGGAGAGGAAATGAAGCAGAGTCATTCCGGGATGCGGCTGAAGGGCACGAGTCACTCCAGGTGTGACCCGGCGTCATGCATTAGCAGCCTCGGGTTGCGGAGGTCCTCGCGTCCCAGCCCGTTCACACGGGGAAACGCATTCGCCTGTAGAGACGCCACCGGCTGAATGAGACACTGTCATCGGCCACCTGCACTCTGCCGTCAGCCATGGTTTCGATGGGTGTAATTTGGGCCCAGGCTGCACAGGGCTTGACCTTTTCTCTGACCTTTTCCCTTTATGCAGTATGTTCTTCTGAAGAAAAACAGTACCTTTCCAGTTCATTGCAGATCCTCCTGTGGATTGCATGCAACTCGTCAAGGCAGATTTCAGCATTAAGATAAAGAAAGGCAGTGATTAAGAGGAGCTGGGCCAAAAAGCAGCCAGTGATGACCTTCTCGGCTGCAACACGCAGCCTGTATTACTGAGCTTGTATGTGGGAAAAAACCCATCAAGCCTGAGGAACCAACTACTAACCAGGGTTAATTTGAGGGCTAAATTCTTTTTTCCCCCACTTTTTTTTAATACACAGCAACTAGTGTATTAACCAGCCGAAGTCCATGTTGATTTTGAAGTATAAATGACATTTCAGTCTCGTTTAATATTTTTGCAAAGCCATTATGATAACCAAAGGCAGCCTGAAAAACACGAAAACAGGACCGCAGCGTGTTCACATCTCCATTAGCACAGCTACGACAGCAAGTTTCAAAGCTACTGAGTACATCTTTGAAGATGAATGACAGAGCGAACACATGATATATTTTTTTTCACCCTGGCCAAGTTATGCCTTTGAGAGAAAAGTAAAATATATATGTGTATCTACACACATACACATAATCTAAAAGATAAGTGTAACACTGGCAATGAAAGGCTAAACAGCCATTCTAAGCAGCATACTTCAAAAAAGTTTATGAGATGTGTATATTAAAACCTGTTTGCAATCCCTGCTTCCATACAGATAATACTGTGCAAAATCATTTTCAGCAATTCCCAATGACAACCACAAACATTCGGGCCAAACACTGTAAACAAGGTAAAGCATGATGCATCATAGGCAATAAACATCTGCTGTTACGAACCTAACAGGTGGGATCGGTACAGTGGCAGCGCCGGTGGGGAGCGGAACCGGCTGAAGCTACATATATTCATAGCTTCCCCTCTCTTGGTACTATGCAGGGCAGATATATGAAAATCCAGTCTTTTTGGTATTAGTGGTTCATATGAACATTGAACCAAAACCTTTACCCAGGAACTATCAGGATTTGAAGGATGTTTCAGTCTAGATCCCTATTCCCATTGAGACCATGGAGTCAGCAGCATGCATCTCAAACTCAACATTCACTACTCCTTTGTGTGGTGAAGGACAGACTGCTTTTTGGCAGAGACGACCCCGAGCAGCAAGTACATGCATGTGAAGGTTGCTCTCTGGGGCTGGCATTTCACAAGGCACGGCTAGCACAGCCCCGCTATCTAAAGGTCAGCAGAACATCCTGCTAAATGCAGCCTTTGTACAGAAAGGGAGCACCGTGCACCGGCAGCTTTCACTGCATCGGGGAAAAAACCAGAGGGCGTGGACCACAAAGGTTACAGTGTGCAAAAAGTCAACTGTAGGGCTAAGAAAACCCTGATTATTACAGCCAGATGAAATGTACATCTATATATACACACATCGAACAGGGCAATTATAATCACCTTTGTGTGAGTGGGGAGCAATTGAAGATCTGGTTCAACACTGAAATATAGCAAAAAGTTACTTCTGTAACAGATTTCTTTTTTGTGCACCTGATGTACAATGTCACGAGCTTTGGATACACATATTGTCCAGGTTAGACCTATAGTCAGCAAGGTAAGGCTCCTATTCTATAGCTATATCATCTTCTGAGAAAGTTCTGAGAAAGACGGCACCACCAGAACCATCCACCTAGCTCGAAAGTGACCCGCATCATTGTGCAACTCAAATGGTTGTGCAAGTTCCCTCGGATTTTTCATCATTACTCAATGTTGAAAATATTTCCCACTCTCGCCTTTGCTTGAATACATAGGCTAACTTAATAAAATCGGGCTTTTGGGACATTTTGGATGAATGTATATAGTTCTGTCAGTGTCTTGTTGTATATTTCTTCTTTATATGCACTATTTACTATATCAGCATCTAAACAATAAATGTGGGTTTCAGAAACCCACTTCCTTGTTTTCCAAGGGTGTTTAATGTTGCATGCATTTGCACACAAGGAGTTTCTACAAGAACACACCCAACACTGGCAGGTCCCACCTACAGTGGCACTGTGAAGCCGACTCGGGGAGAACCTCTGTTAGGTTGCTATGGATTAGTTGTTTCTTCTGGTTAATTTTACATCGGCGTGACTCAGAAAGGCAGTGTCCCAATACACAGTCTCGAGCCAAAGCACACATTCAATACCTGCCTGCTGTAACAAAACACCAAAATAACAGTAACAGCAACCAGGCAGAGCATTGTTACTGGTACGTCAGTACAGCGTCAGTGCAATGTCGGGAATCAAGCAGGCCGTGCTACACAGTGTCTCCCTTACAGGAGCAGTCTGTGATAAATGGCATTCAGGTTTGAAATTAATGAGTATATCATATCTCTCTCTCACACACACACAGGCAGACTGGATATATCAAATGTGTGTAGAGTGTGACACACCGCTAGGTCACTGGAAAAAAGGGTGTTGGTCAGAGAGATTGGGATTGTGCTATGCTCATGTCATCAGTGGGCTGATGACTGTTTGCCTAAACCACCCCCCCCACCCCCTGCCCACAACCTTCAGGACCATCTCACCAGACGCAGATTCACCAGTCAGCACCCTGTAAGTGTGACAGCCGTCTGCCTAAGCCATTGGTAATGGGCCTGTGCTTACTTGACCTGATCGAGTCTGAGGGGCACGGATATCTTACGTCATGCCTAAAAAGGATGACTACTTCAGAGCTCAGATGGTCAAAGTCAACAACGGGGAGCAGATCTGAAGAGGAGGATCCTCGGCAGCTGGCCCGTATTTAAGTGGCAAATTATTAGCAAGTGGGCATCCAAGAGAAAGTGAAAAAAATTAACTAACAATCTTAATGTCAAGGTCAGCCATGTTTATGGTCAAATGTCTACTGTGACTGTAAATAAACACTAAATCCTGGGGGGCAGGGTAGGGAGTGGTGAAGAGCTTCCTGCCATACTTTCAGCCACGGATAATAGTCAACCTGAAAAACACTGTAAATCACACATAAAAATGTGCACGATAATGAATACTAGTGTGTGTCACACTGCATTTCGGGTTAAGCCAGAAGGACTGCAAGCAGTTTGGGATCATTGCTTTCCATGGTGTGACAAAAATGTGAAGAGTATGAATGACCAAATGACTAGATAGGGAGACGACCGAGAGAGCAAAGGGCCACTCCCTGAATGCTTTATTAATGTAATATACGGCAGAACATACCGGCATGTTAATGGGTCGTATCCTACAAATAGAAAAGCTGCGGAATACCTTTACATTACACCTTGGCCCTTGACAGTCCCCTTCAGGCTAGAAACTCAGCACTTTCTCAAGAGCAACCGCATGACAAAATGGTTCCTTTGACTAAAATAGAGGCACAATCAAAGGAAACACTATTCCTATTTAGAGCACAGTGTGAAGTACAATAAAAAATACAGTTATTGTTTAGGATTATTTACCATGGCTGACGGATCATAAATAGCCATAGGGAAATGTGGATGGATGGAAATTCACAATGGGATTTAACCCAAATGTGTGTGTGTGTGTGTGTGTGTGTGTGTGTGTATATATATATATCACAGCCATGCAGTGAAGTCTGATAACACACCACTTATCGTGTACCTTGTATTCTGTTCACATCAAAAAAAATCAGTTAATCTCATATGACTAAAAAGCTGTGGTTGTACACAGAAGTAATGAGGATTTGGGGCATAAGGTGACTGAAATATGGATAAGCAGAGCAGAAGCAGGGCAGGGTCTTGTAGCACATGTAAAGAGAGGCGTGTTACACCATATACTCACAATGGTGCTTTCAAGGTCACTGAATGACAGGAAGGAGCCGGGCAGTCTGGACCCAGCTTTGCCATTTCTCACCAGCTTGTATGCTCCTTGTGTTCCATTGCTGCATACCAAACTGGCATTTGGTCGGCTTTGTTGAGAATAGAAGGCTAGGGCTGGATGCATCGTTACGACTGAAAATGTCAGAGCATGATACTTGTACTCAATACCTCTAGTCCTCGAGTAAATCTCAATGTTGTTTTCCGACCAAAGATGGCCAGAGAACCTCAAGTACCCAACAAATTTAAACAGATTTGTAAAACTTGCTGACTTCGTACATGCCATCTTATCCATGGAGGATAAGACAAGAACTGTGGAAGGAACATGGTCTCTGAATGTCTGGATGGGCTTTGCCCAAATGTCTACTTTTATTGCTGACTTAGTAATATATCCAGCATTTGCTGAATCCGGAAATATTATGACAAATTTGTTTTACAGTGGGTTTTGGAAAGGGGTTCATGTAATCAGAGACAGGTACATTTACCATGTACATTTGCGTCTGTCAGTGGTATGGATTGATTCTCAGTCAAAGCAAAAAAATGAGCACTCAGTCAGCAGAGTAACTTCTTAATGTTGTTGAAGCTCAAACCTGAACCTTATCCATAACAGAAAGGTGACACCGGCAACAAACCGCCAGGACTCTAGCGGCAACGCCAACAAAACGTTCATCTCCAGTGACAAGACTGGTCTTTCTTCATGCTTTTCATGATCAGTCTTATGCACCCACAATATTCATTGAGGGAAGGAATGAGATATTCCCAAGCACAGGACCATATTCTGTAGCCAGAGACAAACGACTTAGCATAAAGTTAAAACGTGCATCTCTAAATTCCATTATCCATGTCAGCAAACATGCATAAAATGCTACATTCAAGCTGCACCCTCCCGGCACCCTGAAGGTTGCTTGATTTATTTAGGTACTGCTCACAAATACCACTGTGTCTCTATTGCATGCATCTTTGTCACAATGCCATGTCCTGTTTCAAGTTGTCGTCCCCCTCCCCCCCCCAGGAAAGGGAAAGTACAAATCACATACTGTACCAAGTAACACTGACATCCAGCCTCAGAACTACACAGGCATTTACCTATAACTGGGAACGGTATCAAGAACTCAATACTCAAGACATTTAAAAGTGAAATTACAGTCAGTGGCATGCTGTGTCTACATTGTCAAATCATACATGCAACCAAAGCATTTCGATTACCTTTAACATACCATTTTCCTCAGCTATGGAAATGCCATTGAGACACTTTCACAAACCGTCTACAGTACTACACATGAAAATACATACCTATTGTGGAACTTAGCATTTCCGCTTAACAAATATCAGCCACAGAGATGTGAAAAGGCTGTGCGGCTCAAACATTAAACGCTGGCATAACTTAAAAATCCTGAAAACCTGACAACTGCAGGCATGTCAAAATCATCTCAACCCAGCACAGCATCACCTGGGTGCTGTACTAACCCTGGGTGAGTCATGAGTTCACAGGCCTTCCTGTAAAGATGATTAGAAAGCTACAATCATGCCTGTCCTGACAACAACTTCGGTTCTCATACACTCAGTGTCTTTGCCAAGGGTAGAAAGAAATGCTTGTTCGCCCAAATTACAAAGCAGTCCTGCTCTGCACTAGAACAGTATGCATCCTAAGCCAGTTACTTCAGGATCAACCCCACATGCAAACATACTCATGATTAATTCATAATGTTGTGGAAGTTTTTATTTAGGTCATCAATGTAGATGTGTCTGCGGCTCAGGAGGCGGTGTGCGGCCGTGGGTGAGGATTCTGTGTCTGTCAATGAAAGGTTGCCGTTTTAAATCCCATGGCTGGCATAGTGATTTCACTTAATCTCAATTGCTCCAGGGACTGGCGGACCCTGCTCTCTCGATCGTATGTGGCATCTGCCGAGTACTGTGGGGGGGTGCCACAACGTCATAAAATTACAAGGAATGTAATTAGCCATTGTATTTAAAAGAATGTTTACTTTAAAAAGTGAAACACCAGAGAAACTATATGGCCAAAAATATGTATACAGCAGCTGGTCCAGCATCTCAATCTGAAATCAAGGGGTTTCATATTAAGCTTGTCTATTGGGGCCTCTTCTGCTCATCTGGGAAGACTTTCCATTACATTTGGAACATTAATGGTGGGATTTGCTGCCATTCAGGTTGTGTTTTGATGTTGGGTGATAAGGTCCCTTTACGTGAGCTTGTGCAGCCTCCAATTTCACAAATAACCCTGCTCCCAAGATGTTTCTACTTCGCCATCGCTTCACTTAACCAGGGTAACTATAGCAGCTCAGAAATATAGCAAACTGACTTGTTGAAGAGACGGCATCCCGTGATGGTGCCAAGTTGAAAATCACGAACCTCTTCTGTACGGCCACCCATTCTGCTGCCACCATTGTTGCTGGTGATTGGATGTGCTTAGTTATACAGGTGTGTCAGCAAAGGGTGCGGCTTAATTAGTGAACTCCTCTAACTAAGAAGGGTGTCCACATACTTTTGGCTATACAGCATTGCATCACAAGAATACAACTGGCAGTGTGCTATGTGAATCACAAGAGGACGGGCACATTGCTATTTTGAAGACCACAATTCTTGGACTGCAGCTAAGCCTACAAGCCTGCCATTGCTGTGTGAACATTACAGTAAGAATGCAGTGTGTGGATAGAGGGATAATGATTGTAGTAGGTCTTGGCTCAAAGACCTGACAGAAGTTTATCCTTATTGTGGCAATAATTTATCATGGTGGATTTACAAACAATGTTACACTTGTACCATCAGCTGGAATACATAAACAAATGAACAAACAAATAAATAAATAGCATATATTTGCATCAAACCATACAAACAATGAAATGGCACACCAAGATGAGTTAAATAATGTGCTAATTTGGATAGTAGAATCTATTTTCCTAATGCAAAAAATATAGCCGCTGCTCAAAAAGCAAGATACAATAAGTCCTGGAAAAATCTAGTACAAGTTCCTAGTTCTGATAAATGTTATGTTGACAGAAACATTAAAGTTTCCTTATAACAGGGCAAAGAGTACACCAGAACAGATTTGTAATAGGCCACAGGGTATACCAGACCAACAGATTCAAAATATTCCACAGCGTACACCAAACTTGATTCAGAAGTTCTGTCCACAAACAGAAATGGATAACTTGTAACATGAATAAAGTTCCTCCAGACAAGAATCCACTCATTCTGCTTTCAAGAGCCAGCTGTGTCTAGACAAGCTGACTTTTGCACCAGCGCCTTCAAACGAGGGCCTGCGGTATACTTAAAGTGGCAGATGGCGGGGGGGAGAAAAGCAGCCTCTGTCTGGCTGTTTGCTCTGCTTGTTTGCTGCTGCCTGCTGTGCAGCGTATGAGAGAATTCACACTGCCGCGCGGGGCGGCCGGGGAGCCGAGGCCTCGCACACATGGCCACACAGAGCCGGCGCAGATCTGCAGTGATTTAACCCGGCGAGTCGGCAGTAATGGAGAACAATGAGAAGCCGACAAGCTTAACAAGCCAAATTAGCACATGCTCTTCAGAGGAAATGGGATAAGATCATTTGTTTGTCTGTGGTCAACAAGACAGATGCTCAGTGTGTCATAACAGGGAAGTTATCTGCAGTTGTGTTATGTGATTAAGATCTTCATGATTGGAAAACAGTCGGAATTCTCTATACCACTCTTTTATTTCTACTAATACCAGGGAAACAGAAAAAGACAAAATAAATCAGGCATTAAGACATGTTTTAATAAAGCATGCATCACTTAAAAGAAAAACTGCACTATATTGCAGTTCATCAATGGCGAACCAAACAGACTAAGACATCCATTGTCTTGAAGATGCAAACATTTCAAAATAAATTAACCAATGTTAGCACCCATAATCAACATATAGCATCAACACTGCGGTGAAGAGTGGAAACTTGTGGTAAGATTAAACAGAAATTTTCACTGTGCATACCACATTTCCATTAAGAGGTTGACCAAATGCTTATAAATGATGCACTACCACATAGCAAGGCAGGTCTAATGGATATTCAAAGATACATTTCAACTGTTTTCAAAAGAGTTTTGGAATTTAGTTTCCTTTAACAAGTATGGGTCAAAACAGTACCCATCTAGTAAACATCAGAATGTTTTCTGACCATCTACTGTACTTGTATGTAATGTGGATAATATCAAGTTTCAGCCAGAGTGAACTCATCCAGGACACATTGGAATTCATTAATCAGGTTGAAGCATTTGGCAATTGATGTGTGAGCAGAAAACTGAGCTCACATTGAAGTCAGCCAGATTCCTCAGCTGAAAACTCACCCAATTCCCTGGAGACTGGCGACACGGCTGCATTTTCCCCAATCTTCGAAACGGCATCAAAATACATTTTTCCAGCTATGGTCATTGCTGCAAAGGAACAAATGCAGAATGACTTCACCAGCTGCCTTTCTATGGCTTCTTGATATGCCAGCTCATTAATAAATGGGAATCTCTAGTGTTTAAGTAAGATATAAAAATGCTTCTAAAACACCAGCTAAATGTGTAAATTTACCTGCCACTGACTTCTCATAGCTCTTCCCCAGGTTGATCAGGTTCCTGAGCCCAGGGTTAAACTGCTCCATGACATTCTGGGTGGGGGGAAAAGCATAGTCAAAAATCTTATCCTGTAGGAATATTGCCACACTAATGAGATTAAATGGTAAATTTGTACTGTACATTTCACCTCACAAGAAAATTTAATACAAAATTTGTTTACATCCATAACCCAACCAGAGGTAAACTCCCAAAAATGAACTTGAATTATCTTCAATGGACATTTGGAAAATGGTTTGGCAAAACCAGATTAATTACTAGTTTACCAGATTTGCATCCAAATTGAATCGGTGCTCCCAAAAGGGACACATATGGGAATAAATCAGTTGCTGAACGGAGACTTCTCTATTCTCCATTACTGCATCTGGTTGGTTTCACTTGGACATTAAAATTTAAATATATATATATATATATATATATATATATATATATATATATTATATATATATAAAAAATAAATCTCTAAATATTTTAATAGGTTCTTTCTGAGGTTTTTTTTTAAGTCTTAAGTCTTTTTAAAAATATATTTATAACCCTGAAAAATATAGCCTCAGTAGCAAAACAAATGAGGATTACTCAATATAAGACTTAAGGATATTAAGGTGTAAAGTAACAATAGATTTACATTAATTAGTGCAAAATTACACATATGAACCAATACATGTTATTTGCTAAACTGTTTTTGTAACATTTGTACAATGTAACTAAAAGATGAAACATCTACAACAGGTTTTATCAGGCCAATAATCCCTGAAGATGAAAGTGAAACTAAACGTTCCAAAGAACCAAAACTTTAATGCAGCTTACATACCTAATCCCATTTACATCTGAAAGTTTAATTGAAGCTACTTTGGTTAAACTCTTTGCTCAAGGATACAACAGCATGTCCCTCAAGAAGATTTGATCTGACAAGCTTTTATTCTAAGGGTCAGTTCCTAGTGTCCTACATTACCTCAAAGTGTGGGTTTTGCATAAAAATTGATGTCACTTTTGGCAAACATTTACCAAGTCTCAGAAAGGAGTTAAAAAGCATGAAAACTATATGTATGAAATACTAATTTGATGAAGTATCATTCAATATTATTAAAATGATGGATGACATGAAATGGACAGATGCAGAAGAAACTGAACAACAAGGAATGACAGCCACCATAAAGCACAAATGATTAGCTACAGTTAAAATCAAACAGAAATTATTATCATGGGTTTACAGTACATTTGCTTGTACTATATGCTAAGCTTATTTTTTTTCTGTCACCAGCCAAACTTGTACATTTCCAAGCAAATAAAATTAAAACCTTTGAACAGAATAAAATGATCCTTTGTTTTCAAAGGGGGATAAAAACAATGAAAACGTTTTTATTGATTTGTATCAGAAGTCAATGAAGAAAATATACGTGCTGCCAAAACATATTCGCTTTGTCAAATTTAATTCCCAACAACCAAGCAAGAGCAGCCAGCCAGCTAAGCCCTCCCTGTGCACATTGACCCGACCAAAATATGTTAAGATGCAGGATACGATAACTTATAGCCGTTAAGCCTTGCATATACACATTCCACCTACAAAAGAGATAGGCTAACTTTGGCTTTTGCTACCTTCCAGCACTGAAGCTCATGCTGAAATTGTTGTTTTTTTTTTTTTTTTTTTAACTGTAAGGGAACAATGGGATAGAAAAACATTCGTGAGGGTTATCAGCTCTATCGACTCTACCCAATATACGAAGGAAACCCTGCAAAGTACCCCCAGCCCCCACCCCAAAGTAAAGCCTGTTAATATTGCCATGCTGAATGTAGTATTTACCTATAAGCAAAGTCACCATAACCATTTAGAGTAACAAATGAATCATATGTATTTACCAGAAACTCACATGGTGATAGATATTTTTTTTTCTCCTCCTTGAAAGACAACGGGATAGTGATCAGATATCTGGTTTGGACAGGATCTTCTGGTTTCACCTCCTATTGTAGTCTACTTTCAATCTCCATTTCAACAGATTTTTTTTTTCCGTTAAGCAAATATCAAATAGAGAAACCCTGATTATCACCATAACACATGACCAAATCGCTCTAACATCAGACTGCTAAGGTTCTCAGGATGCACCAACTATGGTAAGCAGCTCAATAGAAAGTAATGGCAAACCTAGGACTAGACATCTTTCGACAGCACGTGATTGCAAGATAAGTATGGGAACATTCAGGAAGCACCTCATTATCTTTAACCTTGGATCTAAACCTATAGTGCTTGCCTGTAATAACAATGTATATTTTATGCTTTGTGACAGACCTGCTCTGATAGCGCCCTGTATTTGCCAGGAGAAGATTTAGATTACTGAGACACTAAATACTGCAGTTTAGCAAAAGAAAATGTAGCCAAGTACCACTTATTACCCAACTAATTTCATATTATTACCTGACTTCATATTACTTGAATAAATATGTAATGACTTCATAATATAACCTAATCCAAAACATGTACATATTTGAGGTGTGTTACAGTACCACTGGGTAATTTATCAGAAATGCACTGAGAGTCTATCTGTGAAGAAGCTTGCAACCAAAGTTCAGCTAATGCTAACACATACCATGTGGTACCATCAACTTCCCTGTCTCCTACATTCTATGCTTATATAAACTACTTATGAAACATATGCAGGAATAAAACATTTATATTTTATATATGTGGTACGTGTGAGTGAGTGTGAAGGAGAGAGAGACATATTTTTGTGTTTACAATTTATGCAACAGGTCACATTCCAGGTGGCACACCTGCCTACATACTGGGTAATTTGTGAGGTAAATTATTAAAAATAAGGCTAAATAAAAAGTTAAAGCGACGATTCAGTTGCTTCAATCGGGTATACATTCACGTTTATTTCAAATGAGAATCAAACCCAAACGTGCACAAGTGTTGGCATGTCACACACAAACCTGTTTTAATTATTAACTTTATTTTTCTTCCATACAGCTGTTCCTGTAGTGCAAAGTCCCTTCAGCGTTACCTTAAAAGTTTAAATTTTATTGAAATGCTCCCCAAATAAAATGCTCGACAGGTCCTCTTTGATTTCCCAAGGCACACCCTCTCTTAAACAATGATGAAAAAGTCATGTATCGCGTACACCCAGATAATAAGAACAAACAAGTTTCTTCACCGCGCTTAACTAACCGGTTGCCACTACGTGTAAGTGTAATACTGCCGGGATAAATTTAATTCGACACCATCAAATAGTCGTCAGCCCCGTCTTCTATATAAAGTTAACAGCAACGCCAAAGAGTTGCAAGGAATAATAACAAAACATTCAAAGTACATTCAAAATAAAGTTCCCATGTTACTGGAACATTAACACAAGTCGTCCCTGTTGAAACTACTTGGGTGTGCCACTGAAAAAATGCTGGTGGAAACCAATGAGGCCAGTAATCAGTAATGCCAAGCTTTTGTAATGCATATACCTGTTTAACCGATGCCAGAAAACCAAAGCAAATGCGAAAGATACACCAATAATGTAAATATGGCGTGTCGCCTGGTCGCCTCTCATTCTATAAAGGTTACTTCAGAAATGCAATGCAGTAAATGTAATTATATAACACTGTCCATATCGGAGGACTGCACACTAGTAATGGGAAAGAATGCGCAAATAAGTCTGCTCCACATTGTCCCTCCAGCGGCCCCCCGAGATCGCATAAAACATGGTTTTCCATCGGCAAAAACCAAAGGAAATGTCTCACAGACTCAACTTTCATCTCTACGGTAGATTAAATTAACCTGAACGCCAGAAGTGCAACACAAGCATCGCTATTTAACTTCTCTCGGCGCTCCTAATGGGAAAAGGGAGGCACTTGGAAAAAGCCGGAGCGGCCCGTAACGTGACCGGCATGGGAGACGGTAATCGCGCGTCCGAAATCCGCCTTACCCTGTACGTACTCTCGGTGAGCTTGTTCACCTCTTCCGGATCCCTGGACATATTCGTATTCCTCTGCAGTCCTAATTTCCACTATCAAAACCAGCCGGTATCCTATTATTCACTGGAAAACGAAAAAAGGTAACAAAACGCGCGGACCATAGATGAGATACTCCCGTTTACGAACACGAGGAGCGTTATTTGGACCAGACTAAAACTAAAACATAAGAACAAAAGTAATTCTTTTTAAATAATAATAATAATAAAAAAAAACAGGGAGCAAAAGTGTAGGTGCCGAGACGGCGAGCGCGGACGTACGCCCGTTGCTGAAGGCAGCCTATAACGCAAACTGTCAAACTTCTGTGTGTGTGATTGTGTGTGTGTGGCAGTGTGGAGACACTAAAGGTGAGAGCTGTGACGTCACGGCTTCCTAACGCAGTGCCGGTGCCGCGCGCCAGCCCTGCCAGCGCTCCCCATAGGTGGCAGGTGTAACTAAACTCCCCGCAGAATAAACAATACGCTGAGAGTGTAACACGAACCCCAATGCGCTCGGAAGCGCGTATTACCGGGTGCAAGTGCTTATATACAACGTCATTCTGCGTAATATCGGTGTACGCGATAATATTCGATCTCAAATATGAAATTTAATATCGGAATTAATATCGCCTATAAATTATTGACATTGCGGATAGTGAAATTATTTTAAGCTTCTTTGGAACAAGATCAAGGAATAAAATTCAGGTCTCTTCTAATCCATGTTACCATATAGCCATAACATTCGAGTGAGTGTCGCTTATTAAGTTTATTAAGAAAAAATCTAATTCGTGTTCCCATCGATCCATCACAGTTACACAAACGTAATAGTAAAAGGTGTCGCGCTATACTCTGCTCTGATTTAATGTTAACTTAAATGCTTTTTAAAAACATTGCAATTTGAATGAGGAGGTGTTTAAATGAATATGAAATTGAGACGTTCCTCTTTTACTGAAAGCTTAATTTGTATCGCTCCACTCGCTGTACAAATCGGTCGTTCACGCGTGCATAGCGCCATCACTTTGTCATGCTGCACAGTCAAAAAAGGAATTATTGCATCATTCTATATGTGGATCTCCTATTATCTGATTTCACTGGAGTGGGTGCTGCTTAATTGTAGTACCATACAGTAGTACTGTAAGTTTATACCCTGCGATGGATTGGAGTCCAGAGCAAACATATTAATAAAATTATGTAACAAAAGATTTTAACAATTAATAATAATATTTATACTCAGTGGGAACTTTATTGGGTACATCCGCATACATCCAAGTTTACCCATAAAGCAGCCAGAATTCGTCGAGGCGTAGATTCAACAAGATGCCGGAAACTTTCCTTATGAAGTTTCGTCAATGAAATGTTTGCACTTGGATGACCTTTGCGCTCATTAAACTGCCACTGGCCACTTTTTTTTAAATCTCACCATCCTCTATAAATTCTGTAAACACAGAAAATCCCAGTATAGTGACTGTTTCTGAGATACTGTAACCATTATGTCTGGCATCAACAATCATAACACATTAAAAACCACTAAGGTCATATGTCTTGCCCATTCTAAAGTGAAAGATCAGTAACAGAGCCTATTCAACATAAGTATATAATGTCTCATCCACACGATTCCGTGATATTCGGCTGTTGATGTAAATGAGCAATTGAACCTTCCAAAGTGTATATTTTCTTTGCTTTTCCAAACCACACAATTTTGAACTACTCATAAAAATGCATACATACTCTCCCAATCGACATGTCCCATGAAGATTGGTTTGTGGTCCTTAAATTAATGATGGACATGAATGATAATTTTGATTACATGGATGATTAGATTGTGGGTGATGGATAGATGCTCTTCACAGCCGGGAGTGTACAGCTTAATGATGACAGAGCTCTTATAGGCAGCAGTCCCCTTTGTTCAGTGACAATAGCCATCCTCACCACCCGTTTCAGTGGCTGGTTTGATCATTATTCAATTACATCTGTTTGGGACTGGCATCTTATCCATGGTGTCCCCTGCCTGTGCTTCTTGTGATGAGCTCCAGGTCCACCACAGTACTGTGGTTACGGAACCAGTTTGCTGGCTCCACCCTCAGTAGGCCCCCTTGATGTTAAAATCAATGGGCGGATCAATCTTGGATGCACTGCTGGCTGCTAGTAGATGATCTGTGACATTTTCAATATTCCTGCCTATAAGAAAATGGCAATCAGTTCCCCAGCATTAACCTCTGTAGTGTTAGCATACAGAGAAAGCACCCGTGGGTATATGAATATGCTATTATCATGTCTGTGGTTTGATTCGATAAATCCAGATTGTGCTTAATTCCACACATGCTTATCCAAAAGATACCATAATGGAAGCTGGGAAGTTAATGGCACTTTCGGACGGAGTGTTGGTTGTCAGAGCAGAGTGAGGAGCTCACATTACTGTGTGTTTGTGGTTGACTTGTGACTTGTCTATGGGGTAAGAGCAAAGTGCATGTCTAGCACTGGGTGCGGCATTGAGCCTGTAACACCCACAAGTCAACTATAAACACACAGAAATGAGCCATATCCTGATGAATACTGAAAGAGGAATGAACTCGTTGGAGTGTAGCTGAGTGAACTTTACTACTACTATCAATGTGTTGAGCCTCTGACTGAATAGAGGTTAAATTGGGCCGTCCTCCTCTGTCTAGGGAGATTCACCAAATAAAAAGATAAATGCAGGTATTTAGCAACGACTGGCTCACCTTCATTCAGTCTCTCTTCTTAAATAAACAGTATCAGTTTATTACATAGAAATGACATTCAGTTCCAGGCATGTATTAGCAGGCAAACAAAGATGTTTACTTTGCCTACATTCTTTTACTTTGTACTTTAAATACATTATCTCCAAATGTATAATATGAAAGCAGGGGAAATTTAACTGTTACTATAATTTGTTTTTGTTAATTTCTTTGGTACCATATTATCTTATATAGCATTTTATCTCGGAAGGAAATGTTGAAATTCTATTTTAAAACTGAGCAGCTGTCATGTCGAATTTCTCCTCTCCTCCAAGTTTATCTATTTATTTAATAGATGTCACTTTCAAGCCGAATGTAAATTCATAATGTAATAGAACATGTTGGTTATACTATCAAGCTATATGTAAAACATTTTTAAAAATAATTAATATATACACACTTTCAAAAAAACATGTAAAAATATTTTACTGATGTGAATGCTTGCTACAGCGGTATGAGTAAACTTGAAGGCTACAGGGTATTTTGAAACGGCATCATCACGATTGTGTTATCGGCAAAACAGCTGAGCGATATGTCACAGGGGGAAGGAATTTGGACTTGGGAAGAGATTTGACATGACAAGACCAAATCAGCCCCTCTAATCAGATATATGAAATGAAGCTTTTAATCTCAGACATATGTTATGCTAGGATATGGACCTTGCTCTCGTGCCAAGTGGTGACATGATTACTGTACCACCTACAGGATTTAAACCCATAACCCTCTAGAGATGGGGACAGATCCCTAACCCTAAGCCTCTTAGGGACACACCAGATCAAGCAGCATATTCTTAAATTTGTTACTTAGTTGTGGTAATTATTTACAGTGTTTCACAGTTTTGTATCCAGACCTAGTGGAGTGTTTAAGGAGCTACCTCATTTCCCTTCTGTTCGCAGGGGCATCCTTCTGACTTCCAGTGGCATTGTTTTCTGGTACACAGGCGACCTTAGTGTGTGTGCGCCTGCTGAGCAACGAACTGCTGTCCCCTCCTGGCTGTGTCCCCGTACGACACGTGCAATCTGAGTGCAGATGGTGAACAGGTCACATGGAAATGATACAGAGATGTGCAGATACATTTTAAGAACTTCAAAAGTGAAAAGTGATTGCTATCGCCATGATTTGTATGAAAAGGAGCATTATGCCCTGAGATGGAAGTGTGTATTAAAAAGATAGATAGATAGATAGATAGATAGATAGATAGATAGATAGAGAGGGGGGGGGGGCAAAGTGAACAGCCCCAGACATACACCTAGTGTTAAGCGGTGGTGCAGTGGGAAGTGTTCTGCCTCACACTTCCTAACCCTAACCCTAACCCTAACCCTAACCCCATACTGGATTAATGTTTGGAAGATGGATGGCTTCCTTGAGAGGAAGTTGCGCTTGTTAGGGAGCCAGCTTGTGACTTGATTAGCACAAAATATCCGCTTGCTTGTGGGAAGGAGCATGTGATGTTGGTGGTGGAAGTAGAGCATGTGAGGAAGTGGTCAGCCTTTCTGAGCATGAGCTCACTATGGGAGTGCAGCTGTTCTGCTTATTCCCATGTGTTGGTAAATCGTATTTATATTTAGTGTTAAATCATTCATGTTAAAAATGATTGTTTAGTTGTTCATTAAATGCTATGCTGTGTTTTTGGATTGCTTCTACAGCATATTCCTTTCACAACAGAGTCACCCCAAGGCATTTGACAAGAGTGTATGGCAATCTTTTACTCTGCCTTTTATAGTCAGTTCTTGATGCAGATATGTGTAAGCTGGCGGATCATTGGCTTCCAGCTTAGACACAGGTGCCACACATGAGGGCAACTGGGGTAGGATGACTGGCAGTTAAGAGTCACAATAGGAAAGCCTGACATTACCACCCATCTCCCAAGACATGGTGAACGCCGTAAAACACTGCCACCTGCTGGACGACCCCTCGGATGCAGCATGGCATGTTACTTCCTAGATTCGCCTGGGGTCCCTGTTACTGGCCAGAGATGGCCTCGGTGCAGGATACAAAAAAAAAAAAACTGGATTGGCAACAACATGTCACCAAACAACTGGAGATGGCACTAGGGCCGGCAATTGGGAAGACTGGGGACAAGGCAGCGACGATAGGACTGGAACGGACTGGAGACACGTCCGGAGATGACAGGATGGGAGATGGAAATGGGGTGCTAATGATGAGAGGAAGGGAGACCGGTGACGATGGCACAGGAGACAGGAGAGGGGTGCCGGAGACGACCGGCCTATGATTAGGGGCCGACAGGACTTGTTGTGCACTTTGACTGGCTGACGTTGAGCATTCCGTCACGTCACGCCTGGGCAGGGGTACAGGGAGCCCGGGATGCATATGCAGAGTCCAAGCGGGTTCTACTGGCACACAAAGTAGGTACATGCAAGCGAGGAAATACAAAGACTACCGACACCTGCAACACTAACCACAATTACATGCAAAAACAAATGCTCAACCTACAGTACCAGCCCAGGCCTGAGACCTTACATGCAAAGGGTAAAACACAGGTGCCACATGTGACCACAGTCAGGGCAGGATAACTGGTCATTACGAGACGCATATGATGCATAAGCCTGACAGCTGCACCCACAGTGTCACACGTCGTGGACTGTACCTACCATTTCACA